TTTTCTCCGCTTTGTTTTGGGTCCCATTCACCTCTCTTCCCCTGCTTCTCCACCTCCTACATTTCACACTCCTTCGAACACAAAAGTCCCAATAACAAAACCCTGACAGAGTTTGAAGGTGTGTCGTTTGTGCCAGCAAGCCTGTTCAACTGAAACCTTCTTTGGCTAGTAATTATCAACAGCTCCAGAAAATGTGAAACAGGTACAGCGGCATACCCTATTCACGCGCACAATAACCTTTCAGCCTGTCTTTTACTGCGGTTGTCATGGAAGAGAAACTTGAACATAGCCTGATTGGTCGGTAACAAGGTCTTTTTAAAAAGTTCATGGCCTGCACCTCTAATCCACTTTGCAATGCAGTGAAACAAGATGAGAACATGCATTCAAATGGTGGAGGAAATACTATATCTCTCATCTCATACTGAAACTAAAAGTCTAGAGTGTGAGCTATAGCAATGTGCCTGTTGCACTTTGTTTCCACGCAGGAAATACTGGCAGGATGGTGAAGCTCATATCATACACTTCAGTTTTTTTGTGAAATCAAGATTCAGTGTCTGCCTGAGATCAATGCAACCTTCATTGGATGATATGACATCAGGACTGGCATCCTGCACCCAGTCATTTTGGGTGCAGGGCTGAAAATATCAGTGCTTGCTGTGCAGCTGCAAGTGAAAAATAAACCAAATCTCTGATTGGGTGGCTCAGTATATTCCCCCCATTCTGCTAGCTATTACTGCTAGGAAAAGTTGACCCAAGATAGTGATAATTTCAATGTGAGGGTAGCTAATGGAAGCAAGAAAAGTAAAGGTAAAGGTCCTGAAGAGGGATCTGAACTCCTGTATTTTGTTGCCGGTCTAGGTCAGACCTCGATTCATTCTTTGGCTAGCTGCTTGCAATTGTTGATTTCACACATTGCTGCAAAAACCTTTTAGATCAGACTTGCATTTTGTCTGATGATCGAAGGTCTGATAATGATCACACAACTAACAAACCTTTATTGAGAGCATTTAGGATCATGAAAAGGAAGTCTCTTTGTGTGTTGTAATCCGTTGTAATTATGTTCTTTTCCTTGTCTTGGTAGCAAGTCCTGCTGTGCATTCATGTTAGGGTACTGGGTATAGCAGAAGTGATATGCCTCCGTTTATTCCACCATTAAAAATGTTTGTTTGCTCAGCACTGTTGCTGTTGTCCAACACCGTTGACACCGTTGGCAGCGTTAGCATCGTTAGCATCGTTAGCATCAACAATCGCACTGATACAATCCCTCATTCATAGATATGCTCTGAACTCTCTAAAAACGTATATTAGTTAAGTATCCCTAAAAAATACATCCGTACTAGAAGATTCTTGATGTACCTTTTATGTAGGCTATAGCTGAAATCAATTGTGGTCAGAGTAGTAGGCCTATGTCTTACTTAAATGAAGGCGACAGGCCTGTAATTAATATTTTATGTTTTCATCATGCATAAAAAAGTTACCCCAACCTTGATAAAGTGTACTAATTGCCATAGTGCAAGAGTCATTTTTTTTATAACCATCATCGTATCCTAACCTTTACGAGAACTCTTGGCAGATGACTCCACAGACAGACTTTTCAATCAGATACTGAGATGGAATGCTCACACTGACTTCGTGCAAAATGGATTGAACCTGTACATTTCACTCTGACTCACTCACTTTGGTGAATAAAGGCCAGGCTAATGAAATCAAGTCCACTGCTCACAGGAGCCATAAAACGTCTGCTTTTGTACCAGAGCTAATTATTCATCAGGGCTGTACTAAAGATTAGTGTGGATATATTTGAAGAAGCAATTCCTTTAAATGGCTCTTTTATTGTTCCTGCACAACCCCCCCCACCCTCATTTCAGATACGGCACAGGCAAGCACCCTTGTGAAATGACTCCAAGCCATTGTTCCTGTGTTATCCTGAAGACACGAAAGGCTAGTTAGTGCTGCCTTTGATAGGGATGCCCGGCACCATTTTAACATTTGTGTTATCAGCAAGACAGAGAATTACAGAGGCTGTGATGGGAATAAAGCCACACGATCCTCTGTCTCCCTCACTTTCCAGGAGCAGAAAATAATAATGTGCAGGGATTGTAGGCTTATCTGTCTCTTTTGTGTCACAAAAAAGAAAAAACGTTTAAAACGGGGGACATCTCAATACACTGTGAATAAAGTATGGCACGTTCTGAATTGACAGCCTACTTACATCCCTTCAACACAATGATTTATTTCTTTGAAAAGTAGATTATAATACAAAGTTCATGACAATTAGTTCACCACTGAGAAGAATAATAATGCTAATGCTGACGAATAGAAAGTCTGACTCAAATTTATGCTGAATATAGTAATTAAGTCTGAAAAACCTTTAATCAGCACCCCTTGTTTGTAAACCCAGCTGTGCAATCTCAGGGCATTACAGTAAAACGAGATTGAGGAGCAATAGGTGGCTTTCTGTGAGCTGCTCACCACCTCTGATGCCCCCTACAGGGCAGAAGCCTCAACACCACGGAGACCTGCAGCTGTAAACCTCCAGTTATTGCATTCTATTGAGCTGAAACAGAAGACAAGTGGAGCAGCAGTGTGCCAGGCACCTCCTGAGGCCCGTTGACAGAAGCAGGGTCAGGGAACTTCAACGCAGAACACTGTTTAAGTTTCAGTTCCCCTCACTGGAGTTTCACAATGAAAGAAATATGAATTTCCGAGCTCAGAATACTTTCATGTCACCTCTCCAGTTCATACATGCCAAGTCCAACAAATGCTTCATTTAAATAGCTTTCAACCCTGTTTGAATCCTTGTTATAAGCAAATATAGGGAATTTTAAAAGTGTTTGTTTTTAGCAACTTCGCTTTCCTTTATGCACCTTTCCTTTAACGCCACCCATGACAATATCTGCTCAAACCGACATATGCTGTCATTCAAGAGTGTGTGTGTATTTTTGGTTCAGGCTAAAGAGTGTGACAGACAGATTGTCCATACATCAACAGAGAAAAGCTTCTTTGTTCATGGAAACAACAGTGAGTGTCTCAAGGGCCCATATAGGCTCCCAGCAAACCAGCCTATATAGTACCTTTATGATATTTCGATAGGAAGCAGTAGTCCCTTCAATATCACTTCAATAATCCTACAATGCTGCAAGGGATTTACAGGTTTACTTTGATGTTCCTGTTGCATCCTTAGAAGACTTATAGAAGTGATATCGTTTCCTCACCAGACAGATAAAGATAAGACACATTTTTGGAGTGATCCAACAATAAAAACTGGTCTCATTCAAGATGGCTCACAGGTTTAAAGACGCCATCACGTTAGTCTATTTTCTGTATTCTAATGTGACTTTCTGATGTAAAGGCTACAGGCTGAGAGAGAGAGGCAGCTGGGTAAAATCTGCATCTCGATTGCAGACACCCCGTCCACACACTTCATCACACACACACACACACACACACACACACACACGCACGAAGACGATCGCGATCACGCACGCCCGCGTACTCATCTCTCGTAAAGGGGCGTGTGGGTCTGGCAGGGACTCAAACCCTCTGCATTTGCATCAGCGGAGGAGCCGAGAGCAGTGGCGCACGGAGACACGGACCGGAGGAAAAACTTATATTAGATCAACCAGGACTTTTCTGCGTTATTCTTTAAATCCCTTTGACATTTCTGGAACTGCTTATTTTCCCCCTCACACTCGCCGGATTTCACACGTGACAGCGCTGAATGAAAGGCAGCGAGACAAACGAAGAGAGCAGCGGGGAGGAGGCTAGTGTGTACGCGGAGAGGAGAGCGAGTCTCCGGGCATCGGCTGTGCGTATTTGCGCGCTGGGGACCTATATGACCGATTCCGACTGCGCTGTGGTTCTCCCCCGCTGTACGAAATAAGGATTTTTGGGGTGGAAATAACTTGACTTTCTCCTGTGGGGCTCTTGAGAAGATCTGCTGTCATTTTTTTAACAGAATCGCAAGAAGCCCATATCTGCTCCACTCTGCTCAACGCATGTTGGAAGTGGGGAGAGGAGAGCCGGATGTCTGCGGGTTTGCGAGTCCTCAAGACGCAGGTGAATGCAGCTGTTTGTATTTCTCTTATGCATAGGGCTTAAGGAAATATCGCTGAGTTAGAATGCACTCAAACGAGCATGGACATTTAATAATTTCCCCAAACTGTTTTAGGAACTTGGCTCATGTGATCATCTATTGTTTAACAACCCTTTATTTTTTGGTTTTAGAATATTCCAATTACAACATATTTATATCAAAACTATGTTGTTATGTATCGCAATGCAATATATTAACGCAGGATTGTGCACTATGTACCGGTTGAGGTTTGTTGGATAAAGCCTGCTCTGTTCTTTTTTGTGCGGAGTGACCCAGTAAGGGCAGCCTTGAGTAAATGACTCGAGGCTTCTTTAATTTATGCTTTAATTGATTTCTCCTAAATTATAGAGTGCCAGTTTAATGGTGTCACTGTTGTGGGGCAGACAATCAGCGCATCTGGGTAGCTACTGGTGCATAAAAGAAACCTGAGGTCTGAGAGGAAGAGAAAAACACTTTCTATTATTTAACTCCAGTGCAGAGAAAAATTGGGCCTATAATAAGCACTGCAGTATGCTCCCATTTGAGCTGGAGGATCAGTGTTTTGAAGGATTGGAAAACACAAAAGGGAACTTCTGTAGATTGCAGTGTATCACACAGAGTCCCGAGTAGAATTAAAGGAGGGCATCCCGAGGAAACACCTAATGTATTTCCTATCATCTAGTTTTATAATCGTTCCAATAAATCTTATTTTAACATATTCTTGACACATGTATCATTTGTATTTAAGCCAAATAATGTTTTTATTGTTTCTGGAGGGAGTCCTGTTCTGTTACATCTCCTATTAATGTCTAGCTCGTTTTTTTATAAGAGGAAAGATAGAGAGAGAGAGAGAGAGAGAGAGAGAGAGAGAGAGAGTAAAAGCGAGGGAGAGGAAGAACGAGAGGGAGTCATGTCACTTAACGGACTGCTGGTACTCTGTGACTCAGTGTGCAGCTCCGCTTACATATAAAGACACGGGGCTTTTCTCACATAGGTTGGCTATTTGTAATCAAGCCAATCATCAACCCAGTCCACTCTCTGAGCCTATAGAAGCGAAGTGGTCACAATTTTGGGGAAGGGTTGTATCCATGCTTTTATAGTCTTGTTGATATCAGTAACAGCGCGTTTAGAGATCGGGGGAAATGTCCAGAGCGCACAGCAGAAGAACGCATTCCTAACCTGCTCCCTTCTCTCTTTTCACTCCACAGCCGAGGATTACCTCCATCCAGGGCACAATTTAACGGAGTAAGGACACAATAAAAAAAGGAGTGTGACGTTTCTTCATAAATCTTGGCTTCTTTGAAGAGGATATGGCACGGTCGTTGCTGGAGAGAGGAGCGCAGCCAGCGCTGGAAAGAGGAAACAGGAGCTGAATGACAGGATGCCAGCAACCTGAGTCCGCTCTCAACTTCGTTAAAAGAGACACTTCTGCTTTATTTTCTCCAGTTCAGAGAAGGAGAGAAGATACTTGCCAAAAAAAAAAACCTGTTGGAGGAGTTTAATTTCGGAGTTTTTTTTGTATGCATAATTTTATTTTTGTGGAAAGGAAACAAGGATGCATTGTGGATTAGTCTTTATCCTGTTCATGGGAATCCTTTTGGTGGTCAAGGCTTTCAAAAACGGTAAGTGTGACATCTGATATATGTATAAATACAGCTTTTATATACTCTGCAAAGCCTCTAATCCCAATATTTTTCTAAAAGATTAGCCTTCTCTGATCTCCGCTGATCTTTTGGCAAACTCGCAAGCGCTCACCTGCCCATTCAGCCAACACCTTGGAAAATCTGGTTTATTGAATTGCAACATAGACTTAGACACTATTGCTCAATACTGACATTAAGAACATTATTTTAGCCTTGTTTAATCGTTTTACCTACTTTTTTTTTTACATAAACCTTATTTTTGTCCTGTCGATAACTGTTATACCTTGTTGCTGGTGCGTTTTGATCTTCCCTGATAAATTCAAAATATAACTTAATATATTTTAATTTGTATTAATGCCATTACAGCGTTCGTTTAGGCTTGTAAACTTGATTGTAAACAGTTTTAGAGCATAACGTTAATCCCTTTCTGTGTGGCTATCGGTTACGGAGGTCTGTGTTTTGGTGGAGTTCAAAAAGTCAGCCCGAGTTACTGAACTTCCCAAGTTTTAGTATTCTTAGAGCAGCAGTTTCGTTTCTAGCTTTGATCTTATACTCGTTTTATATTCCGAATAAATTGATTTTAAAGAGACTGTGCTGAGCAGCAGATGGGGAAAGCGTCAATGATTAAAGGATGAAAATGCGCGCAAATGAAGATAAATGTCAGTAGCGGGGCCTTAGAAAACAAAGGATAATCCCTTTTTAATGTTGAAACTCACACTGTATCATGAGGTTTTAAGGAACAGATTATTGTGACTTTTGGTTTTAGCGGAACAAAAACTTTTTTTCGGAAGCTTTTGCAAGATTTTTTTTTTATGAATCGTGCATACATCCACCCAATGCTGTTCCTTAATACATTATATTTACATGAGTTACTTCACCTTAATATAACTTCATCAAGAATAAAAATAAGGAATAAGGAATAAAAAATATATACTTTATAAGAGCTCATCATATTCAATGTGATTACCCAATATTGTTATTATTAATAATGACTAATAAAAACTTATTTTCGACCAATCAAGCTCTATGCAGAACATTTACCATGAGTTTGTCTTAACAAATGAAACACTTAACTTAAACTGCTATGAAGTCATTGTAAAAATGGCTAGATAGCCTATAGCTTAAAAACAGCAGCAATGTGGAATATGTTTTTCTTTCTATAATTAAAGAGCTCACTTTGGTGTCCTCTGCAGATAAATGTGGAGACAACATCAGAATCTCAACGGCCAACTACCTCACCTCGCCCGGTTACCCCCTCGCGTATCCCCCTTCACAGAGATGTGTGTGGGTGATATCGGCGCCTGGTCCTCACCAAAGGATCCTCATCAACTTCAATCCGCATTTCGATCTGGAGGATCGGGAGTGCAAGTAAGTAAACCGTGATCTTCTCTATGACAGATAGATGTGCTTTTGGTACCAAAGAAACTAAATATTTCAATCTGATCTAGTCATTTGGTTATAAAGATGGATGAATTGAAACATCTCTGAAAATACTCTTTATGGTTTTATCCCGTGAATATGGGTGGATTAAATAACAGTTTTAGTGTAATTAAACTGTCTGAGAGCTTTTTTAAGTGCCCATTTGGCCCCCATACTACACTATGGGAGCCACTACACCATTAGACCCCGTGTAAAAGCTGCTCGCACATACATACACTATAGATTCATATTTGTGTTAATAGCATGAACACATGAGGGATCCTTGTATGTATGTGACACTCTTCCCCCCTTTCCCCTCATGCATATTGCACATGAAACTGCGCCCTCTAGTGTCCACAGGATTACTGAAATTGTCAATTTGCTCTGGCTCACAGGGCAGCAGGAATTTCTCGCCCCTGCCATTTGGTTTTGGAATGTCCTCGCTTCTTGCGTCCTTGTGGAATGAAGTCACTTGGGTATTTTATTGAGTTGAAGTACTTTTGCAGAAGCAATGAGGGAGAGTCGTTGGTCCAAAAGCTCACCAGAAGCCAATGAATGTGGTTTACTTTATGCACTGCAAGAAAAAAATATCCATCTTAATGAGCCACCTCTCCCAACAAAGTGAGAAAATCGCCAAAAGATAAAAAAACAAACAAGTTTTAGCTCTTTTTAATCAGGCTCTTACGTCAGAGTTGTAAATAGACTGGGTTAGGGTTAGGGTAAGGGTTAGGGCTAGGTGACTCATGTATTTTCTTTTCATTAGATTGAAACACCAAACTATGTTTTTAAGGGGAATTTCTCAGTGACAGTCAGTTACTGATCCTTATTTGACTTGTAAGCCGTGAGCTGTCGCATCCAACAAAAAGGCTAAGCGGCTAACCTGTTGTCAAATAGATAGTTTAAGTCGATGAAACAGGAGACAGACAGTAATGTGATGAGCCTGTGTCAGTGTGGGTGCCCTGAGGTGAGCGTTGCCTGTGCAGACTGCCTCGTTCTGATTGCCTGTCTTTGTGTGTGTGCGCGTGTGTGTGTGTGTGTGTGTGTGTGTGTGTGTGTGTGTGTGTGTGTGTGTGTGTGTGTGTGTGTGTGTGTGTGTGTGTGAGATTGTGTGGTTTTGGTGCATGTGTCGGTGCCTCTGCCCTGCTCTGTCTCAGCTGTTTGTTTACGCTGCAGGGCTCGGCAGAGTACAGGGCTTTGCTGGATCCTGTTACTGTATCCTCACTCCACCCAAAACCTGGACCCTACGCTCCTTTTGTGCTCCTTCAACCCCATATATGTCCGCAGGGCTAGGTTTTCTAATCCCTGATTTCAATCCCACTTTAACCTTTCTTTACTGCTGTCAAAGATTTACGGCTGAAAGGCGCTCTCTGTTAAAAGCTGGATGCTCCTTGACACTTCTTTTGGGTTCCGATTTCATCACCAGAGGGACTATTAAACTGTCCGAGATCCTCAGTTATAAAGAGAGAGGGAGGACGGGACAGCATGAGGGGGGTTAGCAGTAACAATGCTCATGCTAATCAAATTAGTCAGGAATGAATTTCCTGTTTCTAAACACACGCACGGAAGAATTTAGTCCCTTCAGGCTCAAAGAAGGCTTTTTTTTACAATTTGAAAGGAAGGCAGGCTGTGAGTTAAGTGATCCACCCATGTATCATTTACAAGTTAGCTCCGCGCTTTCATTTAGCTGCCACTGAATTTGCTCATTGCCAGCTTGTTGTTAAATATGTTAGCAGATGGAGTTTGTGTCGTTGATGTGTTAGCGTCTGTGAGCCGCTCTCTTCTCCCTGTTATTTCCTTATGCATTACATTTGGAGCAGACACAACCAATGTAATACCAATACTGTGGTCAGAAGGTTATAAACCGCTTGTCTAGAGGAAACCCTAACAAAATGCTGGGGCAGACGTCTGCAACTTAAGTAACTCTCCGATTCATGTGGGTCACTCAGAGATTGCACCGGAAAACAGAGCCGCCCTGACCTACTGTTTTTCCTATTTTTAACTCGGTGAAGTGTTTCATATTTAATGCTTTTAATGGAGTGGTTTTTCATGGGACTTTGGTTCCACTTCAAAATGTATTCCACGTCGTGTGGCTTCAGCAAGGACAAGTCATGAAGTTAAACTTATTTTCCTTTTTGCCTCCTGAATTGCAAATTACCGCACTATGTAAGACGAGACTGGGTTATTGTGCTAATCGGCATGTCATAGGTAACACGATTATGGGAGGGGGGAATAGTTCCTTATGCATCTGTAGACAGTAGTTGGGTGTGATTTGTGTTGGACCCATCAGACTCCCTGTCGCAGCTCCACTCACCGAATCAGCCCTTACATAATGGAAACTGATGAGAGCCAGAATGGCTTCCTTATCTGATGGACTGGCAGAGTGGGCGGAGGGGGTGGGGGTCACAATGCATGCTTCAGTGCACTGCCTTGCAATCTAATTAGTGGGCAAATGGAACACATATGCATCACATGTTCCCCTACATGGCTCTTATCAGCAAACCAAACAAGAAGCACTCAAAGTGGTGCTCGTGAAAAGAAAAACAGCCTTTCACTGACTCGGGCCTAGGTGGTGTTGTTGCACGTGTGTGCTACCCTTGACAGGTTTGTTTGGGGAAGTGCAGGAGCCTGTATCCTGAGAGCTGGGGGAGGAAAACACTTCATCACAAAGATAAGGGGACTAAGTGAGCCCTGCGATTCTGAATGCAGAACGTGTTTACCTTTCACGCACCGTTGTAGACTTTCACAGAGTGGAGTTTCGGGGGCGGCCTTGCGCTCTCACAGCTAATGAAGTTTGAGGCGAAGGCATAGCCCGCATCAAAGCAAATATTTGAAGTCAATTCGCTCTGAAAGTGAGTAGAATGAGCAAGCAAGTGAAAAAAGAAGTAAATAGATATGCTTTTGCTCTGCTCTCCCCCCGCCTTTTGTTTCTCGGTGATCCGATAAGGGCTGTCAGGCTTGTCTGACTGTGCCATCTGAAGGAAAAATTGAGGTTTCAGTTGATTTGAATCTAAACAAGTGACGGGCAGGATTGACGTCAGGCACACTGGAGGGCAATTTATCTAAGATCTTTCTGTGAAATCTGAGAAATGTTTGAACATACTTAAACAAACACCTGGTTCATCTTTTATCGTGGGCTGCAGGCTGTTCTCTCCATGCTGACTGGAGGAGAAACAACTTTCTGTAGATATGATGTACCCCTGACAACATCATGAATCATTGATAGCATCGGATTTGCTGACCAAACCAAAAAACTGTTCTTCAGCACACTGAGATTCCTTGCAGTCAGTCAAGGCTGCACCGTTTGTTTATGGAGGAGCAGAGGAGAGAGGGTAAAAAACAAAGGGAGAGAGGGACTGTGTCCTCTTTCTCAGCACTCCCTGATTTCTTTGCTTTTCTCTCTGTCTGGATGGTATTTTTCTGGACCTCATAGAAATTCCAGTGTGTGCAGTAGATGGAAGGGGGGGATGAGATGTATGGATGGCTGGTACTAGGCACCGGAGATATTTGAGGAATGCCTTCTCTAGCAGCCTCTTCGTGGGGGAGATCGATGGGAAAGTCGGCGAAAGCCTCCCACCTCCCCACGCTTCAAAAGTCTTCGAGCCCCCCTGCCTTCAGGTGGGTGTAACTCAAAGCTTGGAAAAGCACTATTTCCCCTCCTTTAATTGTAGTCCTTCTGCCCCTTCCACACCAATCTCACTGAGCTGCCCCTGTGGAGCTCCTTGGCCTGCTGGGAAGGCAAACATTCTCTGCTGTGCACCCTCTACAATAGACATCCTGCCCCTCCTGGCATTCCTGACCAAGCCTGATATGACTAACAGCAGCTTGGGAAGGGGGAGCAGGGGTATAACCCTACGCTGGATCTAAAGTTGGCTCTCTCTTTGTTATGTGGAATCCCACTCATATGGTCATAGAGTCCAACAAAGAGTGCCACCTGTCTCTAGGAAGTGAGAGTGGAGGACAGAAGGGGCTTTTGGGGAAAGATACTCTCGGCCACTTAACCTAATTCTCCTGTTACCCTGCCACCTGAAAAGCATGGTGCAAGCTTCAAAGCTGGCTAAGGAAAGAGCAGTAACTCCTAACTTAATCTGAAACCTCCTCCTCTCTCACGCTCCTCTACAAGGCGACCGTGGGCAAATAAGGAGAAGCGGTTCTGTGTGACCGTTTATCAGCCGTTGTCATGGAGGAAAATAAATAAGGCAGGAACGCAACATGAGCCTTTTCTTAACAGGCCTGTAGCGGTGGAGGCTTTTAAAGAAGGGAAGTGCTGTGACCTCTGGGGCTGAGGGTGCAGGGCTTTGGAGTGACATGGATTGTTGGAGATAGTTATGGCCTGTTAGCGAACATTTATTTCGGTTGTCAATGTGTGCTTCTTTTCATAGTACATGTCAGGGAAGAATCCATGCCGGTGGAGTTCAAAGCAGCGCTGCAAAATAGGCACAGGAAAATAAGCATTGCGTAGGGAGACGCAGCTTCACTTAACTACCAGGTTTGACAAAAGCAGCTGAAAATTATGCACCTGGTACTTTCTGAAGCGATAGACAGTTCGTAACAATGGAAATCAAATTACACCTGAAATTACATTGAAACAGTTTACTTTGAAAGACTAGCTTGACAGCAGCGCATCAAATCGCAATCCACTTTGAATATATCTTGTTTGCACTCCACGACAATTATACCAAACCTTATTTTGTCAGCATGGTAAAACTTCAAGAGACAAGCACTTTGCATTTTCAATTTCTGTTTACAACACAATTTCCATTTTTCTACCTACGAAACATTATGGCTTTGGAGGCAGGTGAGCCATTTAAAGCTGCGTATAAATGTTAAGTGTATACCTTGTTAATTAACCAGAGGGCAGAAGAGACGGGACAGCAGACAGAGATGTTGCACCGGAAAGCCGTTGACCTTCACTCACATTACTCTCCTTCCTTCTCATCTCTTTTATACAT